ATTCACTTTGTTATAAAGCAGAAACTAACAAAAAAAAAAGGAGGGAAGGATATGATAAAAAAAATAAAATAAAATAAAGTGTGGCTTAAGTATACCACAAATGACATCAAAAATAAATAAATAAATAAAATAAAATAAAATAAAATACAATACAATACATGCAGCTCTGTGCTTCTCCAGAGGGGAGAGTTACAAATTACTATGGTGGTTGTTGCTGCTGCCACCGCTGCTACTATTGTTGTTTTTAAAAGATTGCAGCCTTCAGATGTTTATGAATATTAATATTGTTAGGTTTGTCAGGTTGACATAGCCACCTCGGTTCCCTTCTGCCAGCAGGACGTAAAGCACTGGGAGTCAGAATTGCAAAGGAATCCACAATGTAAATGCAACCTGGGAAGCCGCCTCTTTCCTTCCCACATTTCCACACCTTGTTCGTTTTGATACATTGACCAAAACACACCTGCAGTGGGATTGCTGGGTCGTATGGTAGTTGTATTTGTAGTTTTTGAAGGAACCTCCATACTGTTCTCCATAGTGGCTGTATCAATTTACATTCCCATCAACAGTGCAAGAGGGTTCCCTTTTCTCCACACCCTCTCCAGCATTTGTTGTTTGTAGACTTTTTGATGATGGCCATTCTGACCGGTGTAAGATGATATCTCATTGTAGTTTTGATTTGCATTTCTCTAATGATTAGTGATGTTGAGCATTCTTTCATGTGTTTGTTGGCAGTCTGTATATCTTCTTTGGAGAAATGTCTATTTAGGTCTACTGCCCATTTTTGGATTGGGTTGTTTGTTTTTTTGTTATTGAGCTGCTTGTAGATTTTGGAGATTAATCCTTTGTCAGTTGCTTCATTTGCAAATACTTTCTCCCATTCTGAGGGTTGTCTTTTGGTCTTGTTTATGGTTTCCTTTGCTGTGCAAAAGCTTTGAAGTTTCATTAGATCCCATTTGTTTATTTTTGTTTTTATTTCCATTTCTCTAGGAGGTGGGTCAGAAAGGATCTTGCTGTGATTTATGTCATAGAGTGTTCTGCCTATGTGTTCCTCTAACAGTTTGATAGTTTCTGGTCTTACATTTAGGTCTTTAATCCATTTTGAGCTTATTTTTGTGTATGGTGTTAGGGAGTGTTCTAATTTCATACTTTTACATGTGGCACATATATACAGTGGAATATTAATCAGCCATTGAAAGAAACGAAATTGAGTTATTTGTAGTGAGGTGGATAGACCTAGAGTCTGTAATACAGAGTGAAGTAAGTCAGAAAGAGAAAAACAAATACCGTATGCTAACACATATGTATGGAATCTTAAAAAAAAAAATGTCATGAAGAACCTAGGGGTAAGATGGGAATAAAGACACAGACCTACTAGAGCATGGACTTGAGGATATGGGGAGGGGGAAGGGTAAGCTGTGACACAGTGAGAGAGTGGCATGGACATATATACACTACCAAATGTAAAATAGATAGCTAGTGGGAAGCAGCCACATAGCACAGGGAGATCAGCTAGGTGTGACCACCTAGAGGGGTGGGACAGGGAGGGTGGGAGGGAGGGAGACGCAAGAGGGAAGAGATATGGGGATATATGTATACATATAGCTGATTCACTTTGTTATACAGCATAAACTAACACACCATTGTAAAGCAATTATACTCCAAAAAAGATGTTAAAAAAAACCACACCCGCTTCCCTAGCTAGCCCGCTAGCCCTCTCATGCTTGTGTTCTCTCCAGCTTATTTACCCTCCCCCTCTACCCTCCATTCCCCTAGTACCCCTTCACTGTGCTCTTTTAAACCCTTGGACACACATTCTCACTCAAACCCTTCTAGTAACACTTCCTCTACCTTCTCTCCTAAACTGAAACTTGGCGTTGCCCAGATAATGATAATACTGAACTCTCAAGTGTACACAGATCCTGGTGATGTCATCTTTCCTCCCCCCCGCTAATCCACCCCTAGTCCCATCATCCCCAAATCTCAGGGACTACAAGTAGGTCATTATCAATCTCAGTATTTCTGCTTCCTCTGCTGATTCACCATTTCCATTCAAGGACTCCTCTCTCCTTTGAACTTCCTCTGTCTGACCATGCCACCCTTTTCTGATCTCCCTCTTTGTCTTCTAGCCTCTGGGGGACCTCCAAGCTTTCCTGTTGGTACTGCCCCTCCCCCACTGAGAGGCCACACATGGTCTAGACCCCCAGCCACAGCCACTTGACCACCTCTACTCCAAATCTGCTGCTTCAGCTCCATCTCGTGCCGATTTAAGTTCCACCTACAGGCCCAAAGCCAGTGCTTCCAGCACTGGGATAATTTTCCTACAACTTAACTGACATTCTCTTTGCAACCCCAAAGCATGGCAAGCAATAGGACGCGGTGCTTAGGATTAAACTCCACAGGTAAAGTCCTGGCTTTACCACTTACTGCTGTCGTGGTTCAGCACAAGCTATTGAACTTTCCAGGCCTCAGCTTTCTCATCCATAAAATGATGACAATAATATCGTCTATTTCATAGGTTTGTTATGAAGACTGAAAAAGAAACCTCCTTAGTATAATTTAGACTTTATGAAGGTAAGCGAAAGCCCAACTCAGACTAGCATAAAAAAACAAAAGTGTTTTATTGGCTCACTTTTCTCAAAGTCCAGAGTAAAGGTAGGCTTCAGCCTTGGATTGATTCAGTGGTTCAGCCATGGATCAAGGATCTAATTTCTCTCCCTCTGTTCTGTCTTCTAAGGTGTCAGATTCAGTTTAAGGCTGGTTCTCCCTCATGCTTATGAGAGGCTATCATTGGATTATAGGCTTCCTCATCCAAAACAAAGGAGTGAAGAAAATGGTCACTTTGAAAAGCTCTCCCAGAATAGTAATGGAGGACTTTTCCAGACATTCTTAGAAAACCTCTCAGGTCCCATTGTCCAGTGTGAATAACAAGCCCATTCTGGAACCATTGCCTGGATCAGAGGAATTACTAATTGGCTCAGACCTGCTCAAATGGACCAATCACTGTAGCATAAGAGAGGGGATTACAAACCCTGGAAAATATTTATCTGCCTATAAACTGCACAGTAAGTATGAGATGGAGACAGAGAGGGGAATGGATGCTGGGGAAATGACCTAAGACCCACTGTGCAGAGTCAACTCCTTAGTTAATGATGGGTAATTAGTAAACACTATGCTAATATTAGCATTTATTATTATGTCATTTTTACCTTTGATGACTACTTCTCATTCTTCTTTGTATTATCATTTATTATTCACATGATAGTCTCTCTATACTCTCCCATCCTCAAGCTTGTCAATACTTAAGGCAGTGTGCTTTCCTGAGTTTTTTTTACCCCTAACGTGGTTCACCCCAAACTCTGTACCTAGCAGAGTGAATAAAAAGAAGAGAGTTTCAATAAATGCTGGTTGAATACATGAATAGACTATAAAACTGGTTCTACCCAGTGACAAAGCCTCTCTGGCATGAGTTAAAGATTATGCAATGTTCTAATGCCCTTCAGTAAAGGACAACTTAACACACTTAAAAAATATTCTTTCTTATACAAAATAATATTACGAACCCCCCATTGATTACCCAGGCACAGACAGCGAATATGTCTTTGTTATCTTCTAACTGATCAGTAAAAGCTTATTCTTTAACACAATTACACACAATTTATTCTTTTTCAGTTTTCTTTCACAATAACTTTTGAAGTAGATGATTCCATTTGACCAGACTACATGCAGTACAAAGAATACTATGAGACACGTGATTTTTTTTTGGTCACTGTACCCTCATAATGAAAGCTAAGAAACCTTCAAATGGGTACTTTTTAACTAAGAGCTATACTTCTCAAAACCACAAATTAACAGGAAAAACTCCCATATTACACGGTACGAAGTTATAAAATATTTATGTAGGAAAAGACTTCCCTGTTCAGATTATTCTTTAAAATGTCCCATTTTACATAAAATATACTTCAATTTTAAACCAACTTAGATATATGCCTTATTCTGCCTTGTTGTTTTTGGTAAATAACATCACTTCCAAAGAAGTTTATTTTAATGTTTTTAAAAAGTAGGTAATATTAGCAATTCTATAATGCAACTTCCTAATGGGTAGCTGTAATTTTTAGATAGACATGGTAAATGGCTCGGTACGTGAGGGTTTTTTTTAATTCTTTGTATTTCTTTTAAATTCTGCAGGATTCCAGAATTTTATTACCTGAAAATTATCTGACTTTTAAAAAATATATTATTAAACTTGAAAATGTCTTTGAGAGAAGAAAAGTGTGTGGGAGACTATAAAACATACTGGCAGCCTAAGAGTAAAATGAGGGAAAATGTGGATTCCCTGTCTTTTAACTGAGAGGCTGTAGCAATGCAGAACCTTCACTTCTTGTCTGTGGAGACCATGCAGTGAATTTTAAGAGTGGAATCTGATGAAAGAGTAAAACAAGAAATGTTTAGAGAATATAAACTAGTCAGACTATCTGAATTTCATGAAAAAGATAGTAATAAATTTAAAACTAATTATAGCACATGAGTCCAATCCGGGTAAAACTACATATATAAAGCTATATTATACATTTGACATCTAATAATCCACGTGCACAACCTCTCACGTTTTTATTTCATGTGCCTCTTAAAATTGCCACCTTGGTTATCTCTAGCCTCAAGCTTTCCACCATCCAATACAAAGTACAGCCTCAGAAAATAATGAAACAACATGAAGGATAGTTAATGCAGTGGACAGTAGTAGTACATCCCCATAGAATTTGATGCCTGACGCAACTCCATGAAGTAGATATTGTCGCCTGAGGCCAAGATGCTAAATAATTTTTCTCTATGCTTCTGAGTATTGGGAATCAGGTCCCAAAGCCCCTAACTGCATTGCAATGTGACATCTAACCAATAAGTCTCTTTCCCAAAGCAACATCCAGCAGAGAAAGTGTGCACCGTTGATCTCATACATCCAACTAAATAGCCAAAAGGCTGTGCAATGTAAGTTATTCTATTACCTCTGTTGGATTTGGGGGATGAGTCACTTGGGTGAGTCTTCTGTTGTTTCCTCAGTGATCAGCATGCTTGATGGAGCAGCCAAAGTTCATTCAAACCCGTACTCCCTGCAGTCTCCACTCTGGCTTTTCTGGCGACCCTAAGTATAGAAACAGTTTAGGATGCAACAAACATACTATAGAAAGAGCCCTAACCTCAGTCATGTTTACAAATGACCGCTTTGAGATGCACAATATCACTCAATATTTGAAAGAAAAAATTAAGAGAAAAATTAAGTGCCTTTTTTGCCCATAAAATTTAAACAATATGGGGGCTTCCCTGGTGGCGCAGTGGTTGAGAGTCCACCTGCCGATGAGAGTCCGTGCCGAACGACACGGGTTCGTGCCCCGGTGCAGGAGGATCACACATGCCGCGGAGCGGTTGGGCCTGTGAGCCATGGCCGCTGAGCCTGCGCGTCCGGAGCCTGTGCTCCGCAACGGGAGAGACCACAGCAGTGAGAGGCCCGCGTACCGCAAAAAAAAAAAAAAAGAAAAAAAAAATTAAACAATATGAATTTTTTTAAATGTCTCACTTGTGGGTAGATAAATTGATGCACTCATGATGGATTTAAATTTTAAATATGCATACCTTTTGAGCCAGTAATTCCATTTCTATAAATGTATCCCTCGAAAAGTATTCAAAGATACATGCAAAAAATATTACAGTGTTGGGGCTTCCCTGGTGGCACAGTGGTTAAGAATCCGCCTGCCAATGCAGGGGACACAGGTTCGAGCTCTGGTCTGGGAGGATCCCACATACCGCGGAGCAACAAAGCCCGTGCACCACAGCTGCTGAGCCTGCGCTCTAGAGCCCGTGAGCCACAACTACTGAGCCTGCATGCCACAACTGCTGAAGCCTGCATGCCTGGAGGCTATGCTCTGCAGCAGGAGAGGCCACCGGAATAAGAAGCCACACACCGTAGCAGAGCAACTAGATAAAGCCCCTGCGCAGCAGCGAGGACCCAACGCAGCCAAAAAAAAAATTACAGTGTTGAATAAGAAAGTAGCTAAATTTATTACAGTAAATCCATGCAATGGAATGCCATGAAGCCTCTAGAAAGAATAAGGTAAATCTATATATACTGATATGGAAAATATCCCAATTTTATTGCAGAGTGAGGAAAAGCAGTTTGATAACAAATCTTTAATATGATTTCTATTTGCACATTATGATCTTATTTGTGAAAAGGCTGTATATGTATTTTTTTCCTTGTAGACATAGAAATTTCTGGAAGTACAAGATACACAAAATACTGATAGCCTGTGGAGTGGGAGAAGGGCCAATGTGGGATACAACAGGACCTTAACTTTCCACCTTATCTTTCCTTTATGTTGAAAATTTTTACCATGAGAAGGGCAAAAAATTCTCTTCTCCCATGTCTTGGCTGTATGAGGGTGAATATGGATGATGTAAATGTTCCATGTAAAGAACCTGTCAGACACCTGGAACCCATGAATGTTGGTTCTCCCATTCAAACACGAGTGTGTGTGTGTGTGTGCACACACACAAACACACAACCCACTCCTTTCCAACACCTTTTGAATCCTGACACCATTTTACATGCCACCAATCTTACCATACATCTCCATTATCTTTTAGATATCCTTATTCCATTCAAGGGAGAATTGAAGAAAGGCACAAGGAGAAGATTTAATTTGGACATTGTTGTCCCCTAATACCTAGCTTAGGTTTTTTCAAAAGAGAAAGGTAGTATTTTATTTTCCATTTTCAAAACAGCAGGAAATACCTTCCCAGGTACTCTCAGTGACATAGGAAAATACTTCGTCCTGCTCCCTACTCCAACCAATCTTGAAAGAGAGACTGGGGTGGAACATTTAAAACATGCCTCGGGGCTTCCCTGGTGGCGCAGTGGTTGAGAGTCCGCCTGCCGATGCAGGGGACACGGGTTCCTGCCCCGGTCCGGGAGGATCCCACATGCCGCAGAGTGGCTGGGCCCATGAGCCATGGCCGCTGAGCCTGCGCGTCCAGAGCCTGTGCTCCGCAACGGGAGAGGCCACAACAGTGAGAGGCCCGTTCATGCATAATGATGTTGAAATAACCCTCCGTGAATTGTGGGGATTCTGACAGGCAGTGAAATTTATGACTCCTTTCCTCCATCCCAAATCACAGAAACAGCAAAAAGCTATCTTCCACGTCAAGGGTCTCCAAAATAGATGTTGATCTCACACCCCAGCAGTAAAGAAACTTTGAACAAGCATCCTCAATGTATTTTTATTTACTTATAAATCATATACATCACACCATTGTACTAATATATTAAAATATTAGCAAATATAAAAGTAGAAAATAAAATGGATGAAATTTAAAATACACAGAAAATCAAGCATCTAGTATTTTCTTCCCACACTCACCCAATGGGATACTGTTCCAAGTAACTCAAATAGCAGCTACCACGGTGTCTCATACACAATTATGAAATTTACATTTGTAATATCACATGAGTTATTATACCAATGAAAAAGTTTCAGGACAATGCTTTCTGTTTTAATGCCTCCTCAGATGGCCTAGAAGTATATAATTAAATTGAGAAAATAAATAATTCTTCTTTCAACTTGTTGGAGGGAGAATGGATAATATTTAATGAGTCCTTTCTCAGTGCCAAGATTTAAAACATCTCATATTTAATTTTCCCAACAACTCTGTATGGTGGACCCTTTACAGATAGAGAAAGAGGATTAAAGTGGTCCAAGATCAACTAGTTAGAAACTGGTAAGGGACAGTATCAGAATCTGGTTGGACTTATTTCAATATCTAAACATTTAGTCCTCTTTACTGCCTAGAAAAGAAAAACATTAGGGGTCAAAAATGTGTAAACATGGTGGGCTTCCCTGGTGGCGCAGTGGTTGGGGGTCCGCCTGCCGATGCACGGGACACGGGTTCGTGCCCCGGTCCAGGAGGATCCCACATGCCGCGGAGCGGTTGGGTCCGTGAGCCATGGCCGCTGGGCCTGCGCGTCCGGGGCCTGTGCTCCGCTACCGGAGAGGCCGCAGCGGTGAGAGGCCCGCGTACCACAAAAAAACAAAAACAAAAATGTGTAAACATGGTTATAGAATCTGAGATCACAAAATACTGTGGAGTCAAAAAGATGAGAAGCAGTTTGAGAGTTGGGCCTTCTCTCCTATATCCATGATTTCTATCTCTCTCTCTTTTTTTTTTTTTTTGTGGGATCTTAGTTCCCTGACCAGGGATTGAATCTGGGCCCTCATCAGTGAGAGCATGGAGCCCTAACCACTAGACCGCCAGGGAATTCCCTCTGTCACTCTCTTGCTACATAGAGTGATTTTTCTGTAGCTAAAGTGGAATAGGACCCTGCTGTATTAATCCCTGGGCACAGTTAACTCTAAGAATTTTGGTAGGAGAGGTTTAGGAAAAATTTTTTTCACAAAATTTTAAGTTATCACTCTATATCCTATTACTTTCTTCAAATTGAAAATAAAACCCACATAGATTTTTTTTTTAACTTTAAATTGTGCATATCATTTATGTGAAAATTCTTCTTCAAAGAACTTACTCTGAGTCAGTGGTTTTCAATGGCAGAGAAATTTTGGCTCCTAGGGGACATTTGGCAATGTCTGCAGACTGTTTTGGCTGTCACAACGAGGAGTGGAGGTGCTACTGGCATCTAGTGGATAGAGGCCAGGGATGCTGCCCACCATCCTAAAGTGCACAGGACAGTCCCCTACAACAACAACAAAAAGTTTCCTTCCCAAAATGTCAATAGTGCCAAGTTTGAGAAACTTTGCTCTAAGGAAATAATCAGTAATATGTCAAAGATGACTATCCAGATGTGTTCATTAGCACTGTTTGTGACAGTTTCATAATCTGAGACTCATTAAATTACAGTGCCTCCATTCACTGGAATGCTGTAGACATTAAAATGATGTGCAAGTTTTTAATAATATGAAGAAATGCTCATGATATTTATCCTAAAATAATATATTTAGTATGATTAGAGCATTGTAAAAGTATACATATACTTGTGTATAGGCCTGGAAACTACTTTGAAAGAGTATCAACCAAAATATTTATACCATTTATTTTACCATTTATTTCTAAAGAGTGGTAGGGAATTCATACAAAAGATACTTCACAATTAATGTCATTAAAAATACCTATACCATTTATCATCCTGAGGAGAAGGACATTTGATATAAGCCATTTTCTCAAAAGCTACACAAACTTCTTAAGTATATAAGGCTTTGTACCCTTTCTTTTCTGAATGTGTCATTGGAAGAGTTTTACTTCCTGACATCAAGTTCTTTAATGGTAGAACAGAGGAGCTGCAGGTGTTTCTCACCAGGTGCCTCCTGATGGCAGCAGGCAGAGTTCACTGGGTATTTTTGTTCAAAGCCAAAATAGCACCTACTATTCTCATTCCTTCTCTTTAAAAGCCTTCATTGTCATACTATGATTCAAAAGTAGAATTACTCGCTTCCACCCACACCAAAAACAGTATGGTCATGACACTCTGCAAATTCAATAAATGTTTCAAACATCATGAACACTCATCCCCAGTTGAGAATGTTTTATGAGTAAAAGGCATTATGATATTGTCTGCTATGCAGCCTTATAACTTCCATACTGGGGTTTAAACTGTTGATGTTGCTGATAAATTACCGTTATTTTAGTGACCAGTAGCCTCATGTGAAGAAGGAAGCAAAATGGCAACAAGTTCTCATAAATACCACAATGTTTATATCAATCAACAAAACTGATTAGTTTTGCTCAGCAGTATAACTGAACTTCTAATCTGGGTTGGAGAGAAAGGGAAGGTGGGGGTGGGGTGAAGTGGGGACAATTTGGCCACGCTACTTGATGTCAATATAATACAAGTAGAAATTTAAAATTTTTATGGTATAGTAAAGGAAAAAAAAAACTCCCATAAAAGAGATAGATCTCCTCTACAGAAGAATTCCAAATAATTTGAGTAGATATTGCCCCTCAAGGAGGTGGGACTTAGCTCTCCATCCCTGAGTGTGAGCTGTGCGTAGTGACTTGTTTCCAAAGAGTAAGAGTATGGAAGGATGAAAAAAGTAGCTTTACAGTGGCGATCCGGACAAGCACCACCTTCACCACGTG